CTGTATAAATGGATCTCGCCATTGGAAGACAACAAAGAAAAGCTCAGTGGCTTGCTCCTGTGGAGGCCTCTTGTCGATGTACTTCACCACATTGGACTGAAATTAATATGGATGATTAATCAAATACTCAGTATTTGTGGATCAAATGTAATCTTTTAAGAATCAGCTACTGAAAAACCTAAACTGGATGGTCTTCATTTTTATGCTAGTTATGATCCTGACTATTCTGCTGAAGTTGACAAAGATTGGTAAATAGTACTATAAATAATATATTACCTCCTGTCTAAATTCAACTGATTCATTTCCTCTGCCTGACGTCTTGACCAAAGACATTTTGACCCATGTCCGAAAGCCTCCAGAGAAGGTCCACATTGAGTAATTCCTTTCACAGTCCATCATAAAAGCAGCTTTATCTGAGCTGGTGAGAGAAAGAGATTTACACAAACTGTAAAACAAATCGGATTCATGCTAAACATTTCAATATGGCTCTACCTTTCAAGCATGTCGCTAAATTGGGCAAAAATCATGTAACTGATTGCACTGAAATCCTCTTCGGTTTCATTCCGGCTGAACTGGAGGAATATAAGTTCTCGGTTCCTCACGTCAGTCGGCCCTCTGACCACTATGGCTCGCGTCTGCCACAGACATGTTACGTCAAAGATTATTAATAGCACCATTTCTTCAAAATATGTTTGAGGAAGATCTAAAACATACTTGCGTCTGGTTTGAATATGGCCTATGGTAAATAACCTCCTCTTTTATACAGTTTCTTCCCTTTAGTCTGTCTAGTGCAACAAGAGGTGGAATGTTGTCGTGATAATGATGCACGCAACTTAATAACTGCGCCTTCCCGGGATATAAAGCAATTCCTGTTTGCAAAAAAAATTAAATGCTGAAAAATACTGTGCATACAGATACTGAGAGATACCATGAATGACTGTGTATTATAGCTTACCTGGTGCAGCAAACTCCTCAACCTCTTTGTATGAAACAGACATCACTGGATGGTTGAGCTTCTCCATGAAGTCTGAAATGGTTTGGTAGGCCAAGAACACAGCCACCGTAGTGAGCAGCAAGTAAATGAGGACGAGGATGACTGTGAAAACATTCTTCACACAAGCTTTGTTGAAACCAATGGTCATTAGATTGTTTTCCACAACGTCCTCATCTGCAATATATAATGGAACTTTAGAGTTTTAGAGCAATGCCTTTATTAAAAGACACAATAAATAAATGAAAATAATATGCAAACAAATAAATACACACTGTATTGTCACAGAATGGGAAATTTGTCTCAGAAAATATGTTTATATCTATCTATCTTTGCAAATTTACTTTCTGAGACAGTACAGTGTATTGTATTGTTTGCATTTATTTATTTATAATGCACTGTATTGTCCTAAAAGGTAAATTTAAATTAAAAATGAATTAATTAAAAAATTAAATAAATGAATATACAAATAAATCATACACAATTGCACCAACTAAACTATAGCATCAAAAAAAAAAAGTGATAGAGGTTTATTTTGTGATTATTGTTCTGGAAGTTTCTTTTATTTCAGCAACTTAATACAAAGTGTATCATATGTTTCATGCGATATTATATATCATATATCATGTTTATGTATCATGCAATCATCTTTGGCAAATCAACTCCTGAAGTTAATGACATGAATAATGCATTATAAATAAATTATATTAAATATACAAATAAACTAACATATACATATATATATATATATATATATATATATATATATAAATACATGCATTATAAAAATAAATAAATAATCACCAAAATCTCAGAATATAACCATAGGATTTCTGTCTGGTGTCTACATACATCTACATATAAATCTAGATCGATATAAACAGAAAACAATTATTTATTACTGTCATATTTGTAGGAAATAAGTTCAGACCTGGTGAGGGGTCACAGCTGGCTTGATCTTGCGCCACTTCAGAAACATCATTGTTCTGATCAGACCCAAGTGGCCCAGCACAGTCCTCACCATTGAACTACAATGCAACAAGTGACATTTTAATAAAACATTTATACGGATGCACACAGTTAATGTATATATGACAGTATTTCGCGCCTCATATCTGTCTATACGCCCAGCTGCAATAAAGAGCAGCGGTCAGCTGTTATCACATGACTGCAGTTGTTCATATGCACTTCCTGCGTTACTATGATCGCGAGCTCAAGCAGATGAAGGAGTCCTGCAGGATCTAACCGCATTTTCACACACGAGTTTCATTACCTCCTGATAAGATCGAGATGCGTCTCTCCTCAGCATTCTGCTTCGCCTCAGAGTATTTGGGGCATTTAAACTTTGCCATCAACTTACAGGAGCAGGATCCAGGCTCGTTTCTTACGGATCCTCTCGAGGAGCTGGAGTGAGGCACAGCCAATGGCCAAAAACATGCCAAGCGTGACATCACAGCTGTTAGTTTGGGGAGGGCTTGGGATACTATCCTTGATCTTTTTTTTAGAGGTTTAATGTTACTCTAAATCTTCCATAGGTTCTGTTTTGCAAATTTCTATCACACTTCCATAAATGTTTTCTCTTATGATTAAAAGCACAATTATAATAACAATTAATCTCCATCTTCTGTAATGAGAGGACAGTGCTTTCTTGTATAAAGAAGGTCCGTGTACTTGGCGGCCAACGGATTTTCCTTTTGAAATTAGAAACCCAAAATCAGGAATCGAGCGTTCACTCGTTTTTTGATTTAATATTGAAAGTAGAAAAATTAGAAAACAGCTTCTTTTTCGTTTTTTTCATTTTTTTTTCCCCAAGAAACGAAAAACAAGAATTCAGCTTAATTTTTCGATTTTCGTTCAGGGGTAGAAAAATATGGAGGACCAAACCTGCAGAAATTAAAAATAAATAAATAAATGTGTGTATAAATACACGTATTCTTGTGTAAATACATATATAAATAATTAAACGTGTGATGAAAGTAGTCAAATAAATAAAATAAATTGGTGGCCAAATGGAAAATGTTTAAGGAAATGCTAAAATCATCCTAACTGCTTTCTTTTAATCACTCATTTATTTCTGAATGTAGTTCCGCATTTATTTTTCCTCTGCACAACATGCTAATGAGAGGGTGTCAACCATGGACTTGGTCGGGTCCAGAGCCATAAACATAAAACCATGTCTGCATTTGTGATTGGAGAAATGACAAACAACAAGCAGCTACTCTACACTACTCAAAACTCGGTTTGAATCATCAGTGGCAAATCCCTTAAAGGGGTCCTATTATGCTTTTTCACTTTTTTAATTTTAGTCCGTGTGTAGTGTGTATGTTTGGGCATAAAAAAGATCTAGAAAGTTACAAATCTCAAAGTCCACTCGAAAGGGAGATATTTAGTTTTAAAAAAATCCCTTTTCTAGAACTATAATGAACGGCTCGTTTGGACTACAGCGTTGGTTTCTGGGCTTTACGATGTCACAATGCGGCCCATTAGAATATCATTAAAATAATTCCCGCCTACAGAAATTCAAATGGTTGGGGGGTGGGGAGGGGCGTGGTCGTGGTTAGAACGCTTGGTCTGTCCAACCAGCACAAGAGAGAACCCCTATAAATAATCAAAGCAGTCTTTCCTTGAGTATCTCTAGTCTTTTAGCATTGGCACATCCAATCGCCGCAACATGTCAGAGATTGAACTTTTCCCGGACAATAACTCGTTTGACACCACGGGGTCCTCCGGCGTCTCCAGTCACCGTTCAGCGCACCAGCGCTCCGCAGGACACCATAATCAAGCCCGCGGCTGCAACACGGGGCCGCCGGCCTTCCTGCGCCGCCGTCGCTCATACCTCCAGGCACCGAGGCACGCCATCACCTTCGCCTTCCCGGCGTCAGCCACCTTCTCCAGCGTCCTCCTACGCTTCAGCCGTGGATAAAGCGAGCCAGGGCCACAGTGTTCCGTACTCACGGCCCAAGCTAACCACCACTCCCTCGAGGACGGGCCTCCGGCCGTTAGGTTGCAGCAAAAGGCCTTCGGCAAGCCTGGGCCGCGCCCCGGATGCTGCCAGCACCAGACCCCCTCCTCCATCCACCGAGCGCCAGCTCGCATCTCATTTCGGCGAAGTGCCGGCTTCAGTCTCCACAAGTCGCCGCGTCAGCGTGAGCACGCCTCCGCTAGCGGCGCAGACCTACCCACAACCCTTGCCTCACACCTCTCCATACCCCCTTCCCTACCCATGGCCCGCAGCCCCACCGTCCATCTCTAGCGCAAGCGTGCCTCCGTTAATGGCGCAGGCCCCGATGCCCGCCATTCCTCCTCTCTTTCCTCCTTCTTTTTCTTCCGCTCCCGGAGCTGTCCCAAGCACGAGCATGCCTCCGCTAATGGCGCAGGCCCCGACACCTGCTAAAAGGCCCGGTTGCCGAAGGCCTTTTGCTGCAGCCTAACGGTCGGAGGCCCGTCCTCGAAGGAGTGGTGGTTAGCTTGAACGGTGCAGCCGGCGGATTTGACGAAGGAGCGTCTAGAGGGCTTGCGGAAACCACATGTGACGACCCCGGGCTGGACTCCGCCGCCTCCCGACTCCATCCCAGCCAACCATCTTTTGACAACCCAAAAGGTTTTTGCAGAGCTCGGGATTCCTCTCGCCCAAGACAAAACCGCGGGCCCGAGCACCTCCATCGAATTTTTGGGTATCAACTTAGATTCTCAAAAATGCCAGGCTTCTCTGCCGAAAGAAAAAATTGATAGGACGATCCTGGTCGCTTCCACCCTCTTAGACAACCCAAGCTGCTCCAAACGCGAGCTGCTATCCATTCTCGGTCATCTAAACGGGATTCCTCTCGCCCAAGACAAAACCGCGGGCCCGAGCACCTTTTTGGGTATCAACTTAGATTCACAAAAATTCCAGGCTTCTCTACCGAAGGAAAAAATTGATAGGACGATTTTGGTTGCTTCCACCCTCTTAGACAACCCAAGCTGCTCCAAACGCGAGCTGCTATCCATTCCCGGTCATTTAAATTTCACAATGCGCATTATCCCGCTATTGACCAAATGTATTTCTACCCTCTGCAGAGGTTATCACTCTATTCACACCGCCCGCACGCTTGACGCCATGTTCATCCTGGCTTTCTTTGATTTTCTCAGATGCTCTGAGCTCACTATCACATCTAGCTTCAATCCAAACATCCACCCCACTATCTCCGATCTAGCAGTGCTGGATGACGAAACCATCTCTTACTTCATTAAGCAAAGTAAAACAGACCAGACCAAGAAAGGCCATTTCATTTTTATTTTCAACCTACAATCACCCATACTACCATACCAAGCCCTCCTAGCCTTTGTCCAGCTCAGGAAATCACAGTCCAAACTCCCATCCGACCCCCTTTTTACAGATGACTCCAACCGCCCCGTCACTCGTTTCTGGTTTCAAAAGCACCTTAAATCCATTCTACTCCTATCCGGTACCCCAGCTGATAATTTTTCCAGCCATTCATTCCGAATTGGCGCAGCAACCACAGCGGCCCAAAAAGGCCTCTCCCAGCAGCAGATACAAGCACTCGGTCGCTGGTCGTCAGAAGCTTTCAAGAGCTACATTCGATCGGACCGCTCCCACATCAAGGAAGCCCACCGAACCCTCATCGGCCGAGGATCGAATATCACTAACTGACTCGTGGCTCAGCTTATGGATATCCTTTCTTAAACAATGGATCGGCCTATCTTTCTTTTATAATAACTTAATTTCATCCCCCGTTGACATTCAGTTATTTACTGATGCCGCCTTCTCCGTCGGTTTCGGAGGATTTTACCAAGGCCACTGGTTCGCATCTACGTGGCCCCCCCAGCTGTTAAACTTACCACAGCAGCTAAAATCCTCAGCTCTATTCGAGCTATATCCCTTAGTCATCGCAGCCCTTCTGTGGGGTAAGGAGTGGTCCGCCACCAGCATCATTATCGTTCCCATTCACCCGCCCTAATGCCTTTGTTAAGACGCCTGATTTAGATCTCGGCTTGCGATCAATTCATTGTAAATGCAAAACATATTCCTGGTTCAAAAAAACAAATAGCTGACTCTCTCTCTTGCTTTGCCTTCCAGAAATTCAGAACGTTGGCACCAGAGGCGGATCCAGTCCCAGCCCCAGTACACGGCAACCACAGTGGCCCAAAAAGGCCTCTCCCAGCAGCAGATACAAGCACTCGATCGCTGGCCGTTAGAAGCTTTCAAGAGCTACATTCGATCGGACCGCTCCCACATCAAGGAAGCCCACCGAACCCTCATCGGCCAACCCCTTTAACGTCAGTACAGCCCCGTTCACTCAAAGACCCACCATAGTTAACCCCTTTAACATCACCTAATCCATCTATAACTGCCTATCCCCACTCCCGCAGGTGCCTTACCTAATTCTCACTCTACCACAGCTGTGCCCGCTCCCGCAGGAGCTCTTCCATATTTCCCCACTGCCGCAGCAGTTCCCGCTCCCGCAGGAGCCTTTGTCTGTATTTTACACTGCCGCAGCAGTGCCCGCTCCCGCAGGAGCTTTTTCATATTTCCCCACAGCCGCAGCAGTCCCCGCTCCCGCTCCCGCTCCCGCAGGAGCCTTCTCTGTATTTCCCCACTGCCCCCGCAGTAGCCTTTTTTCTGTATTTCCCCACTGCCGCTGCAGTTCCCACTCCTGCAGGAGCTCTTCCATATCTCCCCAGAGCCACAGCAGTGCCCGCTCCCGTAGGAGCCTTTGTCTGTATGTTACACTGCCGCAGCAGTGCCCGCTCCCGCAGGAGCCTTTTCCATATTTCCCTACTGCCGCAGCAGTGCCCGCTCCCGCAGGAGCCTTTTCTGTATTTCCCCACTGCCGCAACAGTTCCCGCTCCCGCAGGAGCCTTCTCTGTATTTCCCCACTGCCGCAGCAGTTTCCGCTCCCGCAGGAGCCTTTTCTGTATTTCCCCACTGCTGCAGCAGTTCCCGCTCCCGCAGGAGCCTTATCTGTATTTCCCCACTGCTGCAGTAGTCCCCGCTCCCGCAGGAGCTCTTCCATATTTTCCCACTGCCACAGCAGTCCCCGCTCCCGCAGGAGCTTTTCCATAGGGGAATAAATTAAAAGAAGAAAAAAGAACAAGAATAAGATTTTTTGCAAAGTAATCAATCTGAACTGCAAATAATATTTTTATTTTAAAATATGCACCATTCAATTTTATTTGTAGCCTATTCCTAACATGTTGAAAACGCAAAACAGAAAAATGCTATTGTCGTCACATTCAATTAACTTAGAACATAACTATGAATTACAAGAATCACAAATGACAGGCCTACATTCAATTCAATTCACTGGATATTGTTGGTCGTTTATGTCATTGTAAAACAATTTTAGTTTCTGCAGACCTACTAAACAAACACGCCCTCAACTGGACTAGAGGGGCTGGCAAGCATGTACTGTAGTTCAATCTGTTCGTCATGTGAGTCAGTCTGTTACACAAGGAGAGAAAGCAGTTATGAATGTGTAAAAATAACTTTTGATCATCACAAACAATATGACGTAAGGATGCTAATATAAAGCTTTTGTAGCTTGATAAAATTAATGCCTAGCTGACAAAATAGAAGAAAAAATGTATCTGTTCTTATTTGTGGGGAAATGCTTATGATGCTTAACACCAATTCTCAAGTCTCTTTAAAAGGCCATTTTAATAAATAGATAAAGAATTGTTTCGGTAATGAACAAATTGATGTTTTAGCGAACCGTTTGAATAATTGATTCAGTGATTCAACTTAAGTCCATCAACTGTCCATTTACAGTCTACAACTGTCTAACCTGTCTTACTGGACAAATCTGAATTTATCTTTTTGATGAACAATTCATATATATGGGCCATTCTACAGAATTGGTGCAAACTGCTGTCCCACAACCAAAAAAAAAAAACACATTTAAAAAGCATTTATGTATTCAAATCTTAGATGTTTATTAAGATCCTTTTATTATCTATTGAAACAATAATGATTTAAAATATTAGTAAGCTTAATATATATATATATATATATATATATAATATTCATTTATTGGGTACTCTCAATTGGGAGGTGGCTGTCCCGAACCCTAACTCTAAATTTCAACTTATGAAAATTATATTGAAACAATTTTTATTATTTAGTATTTTTTCCATTGTTGTTTTTAAAAGTATCTTTTTGATTCTTTTAAAAAGTGAAGTTCAAAAAAACATATTTATTTTATATTTTCTTTGTAAATTATGAAACTTTATGTGAAAAAACGTGTCCCACATCCCAGCAAACAGGGGACGTCGACGTCAAGGGGACCCTACACGCTGACGTCCGGGGGACGTTCGCAGAGGCCATTTAGGGGACGTCCTGGGGACCTTTTTTTGTTAGCTGGGATGTCCCCCCTTCACCGAAACAGTGTATGTTTTAGTCTATTGGCCTAGACTGAGTTTAACTAAACTCATAAATTTATGATCAGGAAATATTCCTGTGTCCCCCTCTCTCATAGCTACAAAGTGTGAGTAGATAGGTCTCATCATTTTGAGGTAAATGTGTTAAAAAGTCTGAAAAATCTGTGTGTAACTTTAGGGAACGTCTCTACCGAACCATTTTTTCCTGCAATTAAGCACACTTTTTTGAGTTATTCCATAACATGTAGTTTTTAAATGTATACCACCGTTCAGAACTGTGCTAGCTAACCATGTGCTGATGCACCTTTGAGCTAGGTTCAAAATTATCTAAAATTGTCACTACCACAACAACTTGCCTTTTGAGTATTTATACAAAGGAATAGATAAATATAGCAAATATAGGCTACAATAATATCCTGACAGTAGAAATATATGTCATAAATAGATGTAAATATTAATATCTGCATTATAACATACAAGACTTTGTGGTTTAAATTTTTTTTTTTTTTCTGATGCATATGGACTTTCAAAAAACAATAAATAATAAAAAAGATTTATTATTGTTCTAAATGTAGAGATTCATTAAACTTTGTGGATAATACCTGAAACTATGGGAAATTCTCTCTTTTAACGGCCGACGAACGTGCTCAAGGAGGAGTTTCCGTCGTCGGCGTCACTTCCGGTCCATCTCACGTGAATGGAGAAACAAAAACTTGCGGCTGGAAGTTTAGAAAATTCCCGAAGCAGAAGTGTGTTTCATATAAATGTAAACCGTACAAGTCCACTATATCTCGGACCCTAAATAACGATACACTGATGTTAAACCATTATGTCCTAAAGCACCTATTACAGAATCTGTTCCGTAACAAATGGAGCATTTCCACCTCAGATTGTGAAAGCTGATCCGAGATCAGCATCTGAAAGGCTGAATGGAAACACACACTCCCATGACAACTAGGAAACTGACGCCGCAGACTCAGTTCTTGCAACATAACCCTCAACACGACCGTCCACAATGTTTTATGCCCGTAGTGTTGTATTATACGCCTTACTAAGTATTTGTTCCTCAAATGAGAGTAAAATAAAAAACGCACAGAAACCGGTGCGTCTGTTCACCGAGGAGGAGTTGCAAAGATACGATGGGAGCGAGGTAGGCTATGTGCTGTGTCACAAAAACAACTTTTATATGATATTTCTGACGACGTTTTCAAGATTAAATGCAAAATGCATTTACTAAAGACCTTTAAACGTCCCCCTCCCACTTTACAGGACGGACAACCAATTTACATGGCCATTAAAGGTGTAGTTTTTGACGTCACAACTGGAAAAGGTTAGATATTTTATGCAACATAACGTTCTCCAGTCTTTTGTGTGCTGGTGGAAGCCATTACCTTGTTTGAGGAACTACATCTGTCAGTTAGAGAGATCACTGTTGAATAGATATGCTTTGTTCCCTGTTTTGCTCCTATATAGCCTATAAGCACTAAGCAGTGTATTGGAAACCACATGCCTATTTGCATTCAATGGATGAACTTTCCAGCTGTGGAAAAAAACTGGGATTTCCAGGGCTGGAAAAGTTATGCTATTTAGTATAGTTCCAAGAGTTACGGGAATTTCTATAGTGAAATTGTGCGGCTATGTTGAGTTCGAATCTATTTCGTTGGCTAGAAATTGTAATTTGTGATGACAGTCTATATAGATTTATGCAATCAAGAATGGCATGGGAGTTCCTTGTTCAAAGGATGTGGAAATCCTGTTGTGTTTCTTTTATTTCCAGAGTTTTACGGAAAGGGAGCGCCTTATAATGCACTTGTGGGCAAAGACTCAACCAGAGCTGTGGCCAAAATGTCCCTTGACCCAGCAGATCTCACATATGACACTGTAAGTTGGAAATTTAACAAATTCACAACTGTGCCACAGAAAACAAACATTCGTTTCAGTTTCTTATTGGATTCCACCAGACTTTTTTATCACTTAACTTAAACATTGCCTCTTTCGGTTGCTATTTGTTAGACGGGCCTCTCTGAGAGTCAACTACAGTCTCTTGAGCAGATATTCAAAGGCACATACAAACCAAAGTACCCCATCGTGGGATACACAAGCAGACGTGTTCTCAATGAGGACGGCAGCCCCAATATAGACTTCAAACCTGAAGACCAACCGAATTTCACCATTAAGGATGAATTTTGATGATAATTGTCTTATAATAAAGCTATCCAGAAGACCAGTCAAAGTCTGAATCATAGTTGTTTGTGACCTTTGACTGTACTATAAGTGGGTATGTGTAAATTTGAGGTTGTCTGGTGGTCTTTCAGCCTACAATCATAGAAAACATTATGATGCATACTGTCCCACTTGGGTTTTTCCATGGTGGGCTGCTTTGAATGTCATTCAAATTAGGCCACCTACAGGTGTGATTTAAAAAAAAAAAGAAATAGGTTAGGTTGTTTGGCATTTTTACATGTATTAAATGATGATAGATAATCATTTTAAATGTATAAGCTGTGTAAGAAGTATCTGTAATTGTAAACCCGCATTAAATCTCTTGGTTTCTTTCACTGTACATGAGGGGAAAGTTTGGTGATTCACACTTCACTTAGAAATTGAAATTGCCTGTGGTGAGAGGTTTCATATTACAAATTAAGCGTTGAAATATCATTCCACAACAACATTTTTACTCAAACGCCGTCTCAGTCATAATTATAGTGTTTGTGTCTAATCTTTAAGAAATGCCCTGGATGACCAGAGATGTTTCACACTACTCTGAGAGAGATGTTTGTTACTTTGACTTGTTGTTATATCATATTAGTGTCATCTAAGAAATCTAAATGGAATGTGTTTATGAATTTCCAATGGAAACGCACAAACAGGTGTCATCTGGTCTAAATAAAGTTTAATGTGGGTCAGGAAAATTGAACATGGCTGATTGTCAAATGGGGCTAGTTGTCAAAAAGGCTATAACTTAGTAACTATAAAGATCTTAGATAAATTCCAAATGCACATTGTTTGAACTATCTATACAACTGTTTAAAAGTTTTTTTTTGTTTTTTTTGCATTAATTAATCAAAAATACAGTAAAACATCAATATTACTACAATTTTAAATATCTGTTTTTTATTCTAATACATTTTGAAATGTAATTTATTCCTGTGATGGCAAAGCTGAATTTTAAGCTTTCATTACTCCAGTCTTCAGTGTCACATGATCCGTCAGAAATCATTCTAGTATGCTGATTTAGTGCTAATTTCTTATTATTATTAATGTTAAGAACAATTGTGGTGCTTAATATTTTTGTGGAAACAAAATAATATTTGTAAAAATATTTGTACTTAACTTTTAAGTAATTTTTATTATATACTTTTTTTTCAGAATTATTGTCTGAATAAACAAAACAGCATTTATTTGAAACAGAAATATCTTGTAATATAAATGGCTTTACTGTCACTTTTGATTAATTTAATGCATCCCTGATGAATATAAGTACTTAACAAAACAAAAAAACTGACCCCAAAATTTAATTATATTATATTATATTTCAAATCATATATATTATATTATTATATATTTATATTATTTTTACTGTTATGTATGTACCTATAGGAAAAACTTTCAAAATCAAACCTAATGAGAAGTATTCACTGGAATAAAAAGTGTGACAAGAAGCCCAGTTCTGCCCAGAATAACTGTTTAAACTTGAGATACTGAGTTTAAACTCCTCTACACGTTTGACTTTTCCAAAACCAGTGACCTGATTTCCATGGAGACTGCAAGCAGTAGGTGGGTATGCTGAAAACCATTTGGTCAAATGCAGTTCTTTTATTTTCATGATGAATTCACCTATTATGTATCTCATGTAAAAACATGGGGGCTGGCCGGTTTCATGAACGATAGTGAGTCAGTTGGCAAACACTGTCAGATTCTGAGTCTCAAAAAGATGGTTTTTGTTACTCTAAAAATTCCCGGGGTATCATTAGCATTTACAGCAAAATAGTGAATCATTCTAGAAGTGCTTTTACTGTAAACACTGGCCAAGCTCAGTTCTATTCCCATTTACCAGAAAACCTTCAGAAACTGAAGAAAGAACTCAATAATTTAATAACTGTCATGCATTTTATCTAACAAGTGAAGTGTAAATGTGAATGATTGCTGCCTAAAGATAATAATCTCAGTTGTTTATGACTTTACCTCAATGTTGTATTTTAATACAGAAAGATGTAACATGATATGCATGTTTTTGAGTCTGCTTGCCATGTAATTTGATATTAACTTTTTTAATATTCTCTATTATCCGCGTGCTACCTGTTACGTTCCTGCTCACATGAGTGACGTCTATCACACTTTCCACCCTCTGCCACAACAACTTGCCTTTTGTAGCTAAAAAGGTGTTGATGGTGGGAGCCCGTGATGCTGCTTCCTGTCTCCATTGCGCATCAGAATTTCCCCTCTGCCCACCCACTTTCATTTTGTGCAGAGCTGTGGGCTGTTTCACTTCAGTCTGTCTGAGTCTCTTGGTGGAGTCTGATCTACTCCCGAGTCAATGTAGACTGTTGCTTTCTCCAGCCACCCACACCGTTTGACCCCAGGACTGAATGTTTTAGACTGGTAAGTAACATATTTATTTACATATATTTTATATTATAGTTTTGTGTTATTGCTTGTTTTTTCTATGTTTTAAAGCTGTTAGCTAAATAAGTTATATAATGCCTACATAGTTTTTTACTGTAATTAATATTACAACTTAATATTTTGCTAAAAAATTTCATATGTTCATATGTATCAAATATATTTAATTTAATTTAATTTAATTTTTATAATTCATTATTTGTGCCATGAACTCCAGGTGTTGATTTGCAAAGTTTGATTCTATGATACATTCTGTATTATGTTGCTATAGTTCTATAATAACAAATCAAACCATTTTTTAGGTAATCTTACCTAGAGGACTGCATCTATTGGTCCTCACATCACAGCAAACCTATGAAGGTGCTGAGTGCTCACGGCGTGGTAAGTTATCACCTTCACCCATCAGTTTCACACATCTATTGTCACTTAATGTCATCATGGAAACCGATTAGTACGTATTTGAATTGACTTACTTCCCAAGATCTCATTGACAGGATAAACACATCTTTTGTTCTTTCTGTTTCAGTCTAAATCGTTGACCCAAAGCAGCATGGACGTAATCAGCATGCCAGCCACAGCTGTAAGTATATTGATCCCAAGATCTTACACATACAGCGCTCCTTATCACCTTCTGATTGATAGATTAGTGCAATTATGGATTCTTTTAAGTCTGAGTGTTGAGAACAAAGCCTACAATGGGATGCTACAAAGTCTTGACCTGTTAAATGTCAATAAATCTCACCTACACATGGTTTAGTCATGATGTTTACAAAGCTTGCTCTGTTAAGCTCTTGTTGCACCAACCCAGAATCCCCCAGTTACTATGTTTAGTTCTGTTTTTTAATAGATATACCAGTGTAGTCCATTGCTTCATCTCATTCATTGCTTTCATTTTTATTAGGTTCAAGTGAATACGGGAATTTCCCTTAGTCAGCAGACTAAAGCCAATCTGACCAGCATCTCCCACACTGGTAAGCTAAAAGTCTCACTTCTCTTCTTTTAAATGTCATTGCTCTTTAATATGTTGTTTTGGACCAAGAGTAAATGCAGTTTACAGTAAATTAGAACAGCAGACTAGTTATTTTAAAAGAATATAGTGATTTTTATTTTTTCTTTATTGATATTTAACAGGAAACATCAATCAAAGGCGCTGGAAGAGCATCTTGCGACGTGTACAGAAAAAGAGCATGGAACATCCCAAAAACACACTGTTTGGGCGACCCTTGTCTGATATCTGTCAAAAAGATGGGTGTCCTCCCAAAGCAATTATGGTAAGGATTGTCATTTTGTTATACAATAGAACTTAAACGCAAAATCCTAAACAAATTTGGTATTAAATGTATGTGGTTTTAGTAATTGAAATGTCTTAATTTCGTTTGCAGGATATCCTTACCTTGCTGCTGAGAAAGGGTCTGGACACTGAGGGGGTGTTCAGGAAGGCCGGGAACGCCAGGGCTCTCAGAGAGATCAAGGCGCAGCTCAACGATGGTATAGAAGTGGATCTGAAAGAGCAGTCGGTCATTTTGCTTGCTGATCTTGTCAAGGTAAGGGACAAGCTTGTGCAATTTGATTTGAATTGACTCATTAACAGTTATTAGGTCTAAAATATGCATTTTTGATCACTAATGTCTGTCTTTTGTATTTCCATTTGCAGGATTTTTTTAGACATCTGCCTGGCGGTTTGCTAATGGAGGAGAAGTGCAAATCCTGGATGGATGCAATGGAAAAGGAAGATGAAGATCAGAAGCTTGCTGAAATTAAAATGTAAGTTATCTAATGATGCAGTTGGGTTGAATAGAAAGTGTTTAGTGTAAATGAACTGTAATTGTGACCAAGTGTCCTTTGTTTTTCTTTAGGGTGATCAACACGCTTCCTGAGCCAAATATTCAGCTCTTGAAGCACTTGATGGTTCTGCTCTACCACATAAGTGAGAATGCAGATACAAACAAGATGGTTTCCATCAATCTGGCTAAATGTGTTTCCCCCAACTTGCTCCAAACAGACAACTTGGAAAAAATGGAAGAGGTGAGTGTATAGTGACTTCTGAAAGTCTTGACCTTAAAAACTCCTCACATGATGTGGCCAAGAGCCAGAAAACAGCAGACTGAGTAAAACTGAAACTCAACAGAGGAAGAAAAGATCAAACTAGTTTCATATGCAGACTTATTTTGACCTGTTTTTATGGGATTTCATAATCCATGTGATGTTTCTTGTTGTTGAAGTGCCCTTTGTTTAATTCTCGTGTCTCTCTGGCAATGTATTTGCAGGTGACAAAACTGACTGACTTTCTCATTGGCAACTGCCCTCAAATATTCGATGAGGATGCGCTGGCGCTCTTTGGAGACTCTGATGAAGATGAACTCAGTGATAACCAAGGTACATTTTTTAATATTTAGTCTTTTAGGATGCCTATGCACTGGAGTTAAAGTATCAACTTAGAAGAAAGAAAACACACAAATGAGATAATTATTGTTGACATAGAGTAAAAGTATAGAGAATAGAACTCTGATGTAGAAATCCATTGACCAATGAGTAATTGAGAGAGGCGGGTCCAGTTGTACCTTCAGAAATCCAATTGGCTGTCAAATTCCCACTGAGCATCTGTCCAGGTTTCTCCAATGCATAGGCACTCTTTACATACGACAGCACAGATTTAGCAAAGCAAATGTAAGCAATGATTTGATAACGATTTGATAATTAATGAGTATCTGTCCTTGATTTCTCCTTCAGACTCTTTTTCTTCGCATCATCTTGACTCTGCGTACGACAGTAATGACCCTGATGCAGACGGCTACAAGGGAAGTAGTTCTGACATGGACTCTGTCAAATCCGGCGCTGAAGAGAAATCCCAGGAACATTCCAGCAATGAGGAACTTTGGACAAAAAAACTGACTCGCAGATGTTCAGAACCAGTAATCAGCTTAAGACAGGGAGTTGAGCAGCACCTTTCCCTCTCCAGGAGTCAGACAGAAATGGACTTTTATGACAAACTCTTAACAAAGCAGATCTCTGATGACTGTATTGTGGTTAGAGCAGGCAACAGCTTGGGGAAGAGCTATGGGGCCAGGACAACCTCTAAAGACTGCTCGTTTTGTTCTTCAAGTTCACTTGAGAGTTGTTTCTCCAGCGCTTCGGAGAGCTCTATCCACAACAGTCCTCTTGTTGTGCCTTTATGCAATCAGAAAAAGGCCCTTCAACGCAAACATTCCTTCCCCACCCGCCAATCGGCACCTGCACCGAATCGCTTGGAGACCCCCAAAAGACGC